TTGTTTCTAAGATAAAAGTAATGTTCTTTTTATTGACCATATTTTTTATTTTTTGCTTTTCACTAATGATGGTCAAATCCTTAAATTCGAAACAGGATTTGATAAAGCTGGCTCTAATGAACACTTTTCGCGAGGAGTTCTCTTCTCTGCAGGCGGAAAACTCCGCATTTCGTCAGGAGCGGCAAGTATTGATGACTGAGCTGTCTGCGCTACGCGCCTACCAGGCTGCTTTCTATGCTGTTCAGCCTTATCTTCTTCCAGAACTTTGGGAGCGTGCTCTGGCTCAGGCACAAGTGCAACCGCAAATACCAGCACAACAATCGGTGCAAAATCAAACGCAGTCACAGCAGCCAACTCAAACAATACTAGCCTCCGGGCAGGTGCAAGTGCAGGCACAACCTGCTGGCGTTGTACATATAGCAACACAATCTGCAGCTCAGCAGTCAGCTGCTCAGAACATTGAGGCTAATCCATCTATTGCTGGTCATAGTGGGCTTAATCCACACGATCTGGTGGCAGCCCTTGGATGCCTAACACCAGCACAGGCAGCTGCATTTGCTGCTGCGGCTGCCTCTCAACATCAACAGCAGCAACAACATCACATGCACCAGTTTCAACCTATTCATCAACATCAAGACCAGCAACAACAACGGCATTTGCATCATTTACAACAGCACCAGCAAAATATACAGCAGCACCAACAAAATATACAACAGCACCAGCAAAATATACAGCAGCAGCAGCAACAACAACAACTGAAAAATATTCATTTATCTCAACAAGTTCAATTGCAACAACAGCCCCCTGTTCCTGGCATTGTGGGAGGTGCCCAGGTTTCTTCGCATATTTCGGCTGGAAGCAAACAAACCGTCGATCTCTTGATTGACAATCAATCATCTGTTCCTGTTTCTGTTCCTTCTGCTTCCTTGGTTCCAACTATGTCCGTGTCTGCAGGCAACACTACCTCCGCACTAGAATCTGCGATAGCTTCAGCCCTTCTGGCTCATCTACCAGCTGGTATCAGTCTCAGCTCCTCCACATGCCCTGCAACTACTACTACAACTTCCATAAGTAGTACTCATGCTATTGGACTAGATTTAACGGGTATCAGACACTCCTCCGCCTGTAATTCCGACATCTCAACTCACCAGTCCCTACAACCACCACTATTACCACGGCCCTCAGTTCCACTCTTATCAAATTCTATTCTGTTGTCGCCTCCAGCACCAAGACATTTGTCCTCGACTTCCGCTCCTCCACCACTGCCAGTGACACCACCATTGATGAATCTATTTTCCAATACCATAAATTCGGCGCAACCACCAACTCTTCCGCCTGTTTCGGCAATTAATACAGCTCCCTGTCTTCAACCGGCTTCCTGTCCTGCCCACTCCGAAAATCATACCTAATCTAGTCTTCTTTACTTCCGTCCGCCGATCTCATTCTTTGTTTAAAATTTTTCCTATTCGTCCTTTCATGTCCCCTCATTTTTACTAACGAGGTGACCTCGGATAAAAGTCTAGCCTCATAGTGGCCACATAATGTCTTTCTATTTTGTTTTTCTCTCTCGTATTAAATCTTCTCATTTCTATTCTTTACTTATGATTATCACTTACTACTTATCAGAACGTATCTGAATATTCTTAACTCTTTTTAAACATTCGTCCATCGCGCTTTTATTACTGTTATTGTTGCTTAGCCTCTTTTATAATTTCCGTTGACATGTTTCCTCTTGACTGACCATCTTGAGTATGCTAATTCATAGTTTCCCAGACTATCCTTGACTTATTGTTAGATATCATTTTCCTTAGACCAAACCTCGACCTTTATTACATTTCATTACCACTTTGCTATCTTCCTCTCTCTTCTTTATATGCATTGATATTAGTTAAGGTTTTGCACCTGAGTGATGTTTATTATTCTATCTG